ACTTGGTAATTTAAAAAAAAAATGAAAAAAATCCCGCTAATAGAGTTTTAATTTTGAATTTTAAAAATATTTAGGTTAATTTTCTTTTATTGTGAAAATAAAATTATCTATTAATTGCAATATACATAAAGATTCTCTCTTAATATATATCGCAACCGCAACATTCCATATCCATTGAAGTTAATATCACTTAGCCGCAACATTTCATATATGAAATTGAAAATATTCTCAATAATTAGAATATTATATTTATTCTATTATATAATTAATAAATATATTTCAAACAAATATTTATTCAATATTGAGAATGACTAAAATTATTCCTGTTGATTGATTTTAACTCATTGCTTTAAACATGTCAATAAAAAAAAAAGTAAGTTAGCCATCTAGGATTACTATGTAATTTATTTTAAAATTAAAATATAAATATATTCTAAATTGAATGAAAAATCATAAAATTATGAATTTTGATAATGTGAAATTTAAATAGATAAATACAATATATCTTGCTTAAAATTGATTGATATCTTATCAAAATATTTCTTTGTTTTCTTCATAAGAAATAAATAATTTGCTTAATTTTTAACAATTCGATATTTTATATTTGTAGCCCTGCCTGACGCACGGGGCTCGGCATAAATAATGTAATCTCGACTTAACAACCATTCATATTGAAATTATATACCTTTTAGTGTTTTAAAATGATTACAACGTAATTCGTTGCATTTTGGTTCTTATACTATGTAACGTAAATAGAATTTTGTGTTGCGTATGTTATAAATGTAAAAAAAAATAGTTTGTAAGAAATATCAAAATAGTTGCATTTGATAAAATAGGGTGGTTAATTTAAAAAATTATCGTAATATATATTATATGATAATAAATTTTAGAATAAAATAATGGTTGAATATTATGATAAATAAAAAGATGGTGATTTTTAGTTTCATATGAAATGTCCGAATTTCAATGGTATGAATTTATAGAAATGTATTTGAAAATTTAGAAATAAAAATAAGTGGTATGATTTTTATTTAGTATGGGTATTAAAGTCGAATATTAGGTTGATTTGTTACAAAATCAAGGTGATATGATTCTTGAATTTTAGAATATTCTCATAATAAATTTTCCATAAAATATTGATGATAATTGGGGAAAGTGGTATGTATTCCTTTTGAAAAAAAAAAATTCGAACAAATAATTGTTAATAAAATTTAAAATTTACAATTTAATTCTAGAGAATTAGTTGAAAAATTTGAACGATAAGGTAACCGACAACAAATCTATAAAATTTTGAGATTAGTAAAATATAGATATATATATATATATAATATATAATGGGATTTATTATTTAGTCCAAAATTGGATTCCAAATTTAAAATATAAATAAGTAATTATTCATAACTCACGGGTCAATATTAAGTTGGACGTAAATAGAATAATCAATTATTTACAGTTTAATAAATTACTCAACGACTTAATTTTATCTATAGTTTATACAAAAATAAATTTATTTTAAATAATAACACAATATAAATTTTAATATTATACTTATTATTCATATAGATTTTTAAATATGTGGTAAATTTTTTTATCAAAATAATTATTTTATGAAACTCCATTGTACTCAAATCGAATATCTAAATAAAAATTTTATAATTATTATTTTAAAATAAATATAATTTAATTTATTATCAGTTATGTGCACCATACGAGTTGTGTACTAATATTAAATAGACATATTTTATGTAATTTTTCACAATTTAAATTTTATATAACATTTTAAATAAAATAATATAGCTAAATTTTATTACATATTGGTTTTAATCTATAAATATTATTTAATTAACATTTTTAATTTATAAATATTAATAAAAATCGTTTACCCGTGCATTGCACGGGATTCGTACTAGTAATAATGTAAAGAGATTTGTTTTTTATTTAGCTTGACATGAATGTTCTTGCTTCACTCTTCGCAACAATGGCACAAACCATCCAAAAGCTCTCGATTGAAGATGATGCTGCATTTCAAAATTGTTTCTCATCACTGAGTACTAGGATTAATACAGTACATTTCTCTCCTTCACCGCAGTATCTCAATTTCTCAATACATTGAGCAGCCACCTTTATGTATCGCGCTCTTCGTTCCTGATATCGCCCACCAGAATCTCGATCGTCTCCAACTTCTGTCACCGTGGCGGACACGACTTCTTCTATTCTAAGGCTAGAAGACCACTGAAAGACACCCAAGACTTTGTCTCTGTGCCATCTGCGCTACAACCATACTATGACCACTGTTTATCCGCCTTATTCAAGCTGCGAATTAATTTTGCCTGAAGGGTTTAGCTGAAGCACTGCAGCAAGAGGCTATAGCAGCGTGTTCGTGTTCATTTGGAAGAAAGAATATAGAGCGAAAAGAACCATCAACGTCGGAGGAAGTACTACCAGACATGATTTTTTGTCACATTCTCTCTTTCCTCTCAGCTGAGGAATGCGCCACGACGAGCGTTCTTGGGAAATGATGGAGGTTTCTATGGGCACATGTCCCGACTTTGCCCTTCGATGTAGCGAATTACGATGATTCGGAGACTGAGTTTGCAAAAGCCATAAACAGAGCAATGATTGAACGAGAAACTAAAGGTCATCGGGGCCAAAGTTTGAATGTATTTCGAATCCATACCAATGACTCAGATAGATTTGGCATGACAGAGTTTGAACTAGAGACGATGTTAAGGGGTGCTATTGGACGCGGAGTAAAGGATGTCGACTTGTACCTCCATCGTAAAGTAAACTTTCCCAAAGCATTATTTGAGTGCAAAACACTTGACTGCTTGACTCTGAGAGACTGCACGGGCATACTCGATAAAGTAGACTTGTCTAAGCTCCAAAAACTCTCGTTCAATTATGTGGACTACGAGGATGGATATGAGACAGACGAGGCCCTTCAGAAGTTGCTTGCTGGTTGTCCGATCCTCCAGGAGCTTATCATCAGTGGCACGATCAAGGGTTCGATGTGTTGTACATTCAAAACTTTTACAATTTATTCTGCTACATTGAAGAAGCTGACGATGGAGTTTTAACATAATCTGGATGACTTTGATGATCCTGATTATAGGATACAAGTCATAGCTCCATCACTAGATATGCTCGAGTTGTTATGAGCATTTGTACCTCTCGTGCACCGAATCCTTGAGTGGAGCACACATCCAGTTTAGTAATCACAGAAGTGAAGGCATAATACGGTTTTTTAGTAGCCTTTACCATCTTAAGTGGCTTAAAGTATTGGCTGATTATAACCAGGGAATGAATTTGGGCGTACGGGTTGAGGATGGTGTTATTCTTAACTTTGGTAATCTGACCAAGGTTGAAGTTAGAGTTGATTACTCACTTCTGAGCAAAATCCTTGAATCTGCACCTTGTCTCAAAATGCTTGTTGTCCAAGAGGTTCCTGAAGCTGCTCTACACTGGATAGAACCCAACCGAGTACCCACGTGCCTCACATGTCACCTTAAGATTGTGAGGATATGTCAGTTTCGATGCATGGAGCAAGAGTTTTCTCTTATCAAGTACCTTTTGAGGAATTCTAAGGTGCTGGAGAGGAATTCTAAGGTGCTAAAACCTTCTTCGATTAACTAAATGTTATTCTTAGATCTTGACAGTTCCTTCGGAATCGCTAGTCAATCCGGATGAGGAATTAGCTCGGTCTGAGAGCTAAGGGAGGCCATCAGCTCGGTTTGATGGTGATAAAGTGACCGGGATGTAATGGGTCGACCAGTGGTAGTTGGGTTGGACGAAGCTCGGCCCACCAGTAATTAAGTTGGATGTAACTTTAACTTGGTCCAGTAGATATTTTAGTAGCTCGGCTAGGGAAACAGCTCGGCATTGTTAATAGCTTGGCTATGTCGTATGCACAATTCCGAGCAGGCTAAGTCGGTAGCTTGGGTACGTACTATACCGAGCGAGTAACTCAAGTTTGCACGACTCCGGACAAAGTCGGGACATGTGCCAATAGAAACCTCCATCGTTTACCAAGAACGCTCGTCGTGGCGCATTCCTCAGCTGAGAGGAAAGAGCGAATGTGACAAAGAATCATGTCTGGTAGTGCACTTAGTCTATCTTCCTCCAAGATTGATTGTTCTTTTCGCTCCATATTCTTCAATGAACAGGAAACGCTGCTATAGCCTCTTGTTGTTGTGCTTCAGCTAAACCCTTCAGGCAAAATTAATTCTTCAGGCAAAATTAATTCGCAGCTTGAATAAGGCGGATAAACAGTGGTCCTAGTAGTGCGGTGGTAGCGCAGATGACACAGAGATAAAGCGGAGTCCTGGGTGTCTTTGAGTGGTCTTCTAGCCTTAGAATAGAAGAAGTCGTGTCCGCCACGGTGACAGAAGTTAGAGACGATCGAGATTCCGATGGGCGATATCAGGAACGGAGAGCGCGATACATAAAGGTGGCTGCTCAATGTTTGGAGAAATTGGGATACTGCGGTGAAGGAGAGAGAAATGTATTGTGTTAATCCTAGTACTCAGTGATGAGAAACAATTTTGAAATGCAGCATCATCTTCAATCGAGAGCTTTTGGCAGGTTTTACAGAGCTCTTGGTGCCATTGTTGCGAAGAGTGAAGCAAGAGACGATTATGGTTTACAGATGGTTTTTGGGTGGGTCCACATTGGCAGTTTTTTTTATTTATTTATTTATTTAAGCTTGTGACGTTTCTCTAGAATTTGAAAAAACTGAATTGATGGATTCTATTTTGTATAGAACAGCGTCTGAAGGTCAAATACATTATTCTTCCTGTTGAAATGGGTTCTAAATATTGGAAAAGGAATAGGTAGCTGATTTGGTGCTCGAAAAATTAAGAAATTATTGTTTGCACTGTTGTTAACTGTGTACAGTGTCCTTATCTATCATCTATCTGGTTTGTGAATTCGAACACTTTCACATGTTTGGATCTTTTGTTGATACTAACAGTAAGTCTTGCTAAGAAACAAAGGAAAGGATATGGAGGAGCAATTTATACTGAGAGTGCCCCCAGCAGTTGCTGAAAGAATAGAGCGTCTGTTGAACGATTCTTCTTCTTCTGAAGACAAATCCTTGGACTTGTCATTTTCTGGTGATATACTGATTACATTCAATTTTTACATTACATAGTGATTGCTAATGTTTTATCAATACTTCAGTGGAAGCTTCAGTGTTCATGCACTTAAATATCACCAGTTTGTTCCCGTTCTTCTGACTTTTGTTACACCTTTTTATATTTTATTTAGGCTTAATTGCCTATAAAACCCAACCTTTTATAGAATTGCAAAAAAAACTGATTTTTTTTTTAATCTTTGCAAACAAATACAAAACTTGTATTATGTGTTGCAAATTTGTCTTTGAACTATTTTCCATCCAAGTCGAGCTATCGTGTCCAATTGAAAATCTTACGTGGCACGGAGGAGTCTTGCATTTTTCCACATCATATGCCAATATGATTTGAACCCCCAAACCCCAATATCCAAGAACCCTAAATTTGAACCCCAAAATCACATAACACTGGCCAGTCAACCGCAATGATAATCTCTCAGCTGTTAGACTCGAAACTACAAAGGTGTATTTTTTTACATTTCTTTAAATTAATTTGCCTTTGCTCAAGTACATTTAGGCTATACATAATGTTCTCAACTTCGGAGTGAGTGCTTTTTTATTCCAGATTATTCTTGAGCCCCTTAAACAACTTAAGCGGGTTGATGCTCATCTCAATTTGACGCAAGGTGTTCTTGAAGGGGTGGGTATGTAACAACCCTTTTCCACATAACATTACAAATTTGTAGGCAATTCCAAAATATCCCTCGAGTTTAAACCCAATTACAGAGACACCCGGTTAGTTTTTGGACATTACAGTTACCCCTTGAGGTTTGCATATGATCTTAACTAATAGCCTGTTGTTGATTTTGGGGTCCTTTGATTTTGGGGTTAACTAATAACCCTAAATTTGTAGGCAATTCCAAAATATTCCTCATGTTTCAAAATTAGGGTTCTTGATTTTGGGGGTTATTATTGGATTTTGGGTTTTGGGGTTCAAATCCACTTGGCATATGATGTGGAAAAATTCGGCTGCCACACAAGACTCTTCCTTGCCACGTAAGATTTCTAATAGGACGCGTCAGCTCGACTTGGTCGGACAGTTTGCAGACAAATTTGTAACACATAATAAAAGTTTGATATTTATTTGCAAAGATAAAATATTTGAGTTTTTTATTTGCAATTCTATAAAATGTTAAGGTTTTATAGGCAATTAAGCCTTTTATTTATTTATTTTGTTATAGATGATGGAAGGACCGGTAAATTTGTAATCGGGAATGACAGTTTCTCCGCATCCCTCTTGGATCCTCCAACTGTTGTTGAGTCTTACAAAACATATGACGACAATGTGTTGATCAAAACTGCAGATATTGGTCAGGTAGTAATGACCTAATTGTTCAAATTGTCGAAGATATTTGTATTTGCTAAGGTCAAGTTAAACAGTTTAAGGTTGTGATAGATGATAATGGTGAGAGAGGAGGGTGACACTGCAGAAACAGGGGAGTACAGGCATGGGCTTACTCCACCAATGAGGGATGCTCGAAGGCGAAGATTTCGACGAGAGCCTGATTTAAATGTACCATAAGATTTCCATTTATTACCGTCTACAAATGCATGATGTTTATTTTTGATACACGTGTTTAAAATCTACGAGTACACTTACTAATGATATTGGGTTGTTTGGCAGCCGGAGCTTGTTCGTCGTGTCGATAAAAATTTGCAAAACATCATGGCTGGCGGAACAGCTGAGAATATTGATATCCTTTTATTTCGCTACTCCATGTGTGTACGTGTATGTCTTTATATCTGATGTGGGTGGAACAACGCGCTTTCTCTATTGAATTTTCATTTCTTTTGTGAAAGATAAGTTAGTAGTATTCTAGGTTAGAGCATCCAATTTTGTAATTTGATTGTCATCCTTCGATACTCTTATAATACTTCTCCATGCAAAAATAAAAAATAAATAAATAAAAAGGTCTTGTTATTATGTATAAGATCCTATTAAATCTTGCCATTAGCTTCTTCACGTTTTAGCATTGTAGTCCCAACCATTTCACATGACCTGTGTTATGGTTTTTTCATGGCATGAACTGATAATTTGATTAGAGTTTTCGATGTTCCTTGACTGATTAATTACCTGCTGAAATGGCACCAGAAGAGTTTGATACCCGTAATAATACTGGTAAGAATGTGGTTTTGACATCTACAGCAAAGCCCGATGTGCCTAAAACTGGAATGGTAGGTGGTGAGCCTGACCCTGATGGGAGTGATACAGATGAGACTGATGATTCTATGTGAACCAAAGCTGATTTGATTACATGCAAAACTGTTCTTAAGTTTATGTTGAGGTTAATGCGTGCTATGTGTCAATATCAATAAAAAAAGGCTTGGAGTCTAGTTTGTGTATCTCCACAGTTTTAAATAAAACTCTTTTCGTATTTTTCGGCTACACAAATATAATAATTATATGTTCTTTTTTTTTTATTATCAATGTACTGTAACGTCCACTCTTATCTACGATCACCTTTTATTTTTTATGTTGGAAACTCGGATTTTAACATGATTTTAGTATATTTTAAGTTATAATAATTATTGTTGGGCACTTTTGCCCCAATATTTTTCAGTTAAACATTGTTTCAATATATTTTCAACACATAAATAATAATAATAATAACAATAATAATTTTTAGTTAATTAGTTGGTCATGATCTCTCAAGTTTGTAAAAATTATATATTATTTATTACAATTTATGTCATAAATAATTATATTGAATCATATGTAAGTTTTACAATTTATATTCGAGCACGCACAACCGTGCTGAGAGACGGCATCACTGAACGCGTGAACTTTCTAGGCTAGTGAGTGCTGCCAGACCTCAACTAGTAGCGGGTCTCCGAGCAGGTGCGCTCGATCCAGCGCCCCGCGTAAGCAGTGCCAGCGAGCATGCCGCCTCTTAGGTGACAGCGCACTAACTCCGAGCCTTTGAACCATTTTTAAGTTATTCATACTGA